CCTGCCTCTGCCTCCCGAGTGCTGGGATGAAAGGCGTGCGCCACCAACACCCAGCGAGGCATTTTCTTAATTGAGGTTCCAGATGACTTTAGCTTGTGTCAAGTTGACATAAAACCATCCAGCACAGACAGGCGCAGGCATTTATGTAGAGAAGTGCCCAGTGAACATGCAGTAACTCCAAGCAACTTTTTTGTAGATGGGTTAAGGTAGAGGACCTTTGTTATCATGTCAGATGAAACAGGCCTTCTGGGGAAATTTGGCTGGTAACTCTTTGAGTTTATTTTGGTAGAATAGAAACAGCATGGGTGACTGTGATTTTCAGCACAGGAACTTAGAACCAGATCATGGCTCCTATAGTGTTCATTTAACAGCCTTCACCACATTCCCTGCTTCCTTTGTCTCATAGTATCTTCAGCATCTGTGCTTGTGTCTCTTGTTTGTCTTTGTTCTGCTCCATCTATAAAAGCTAAAGGTAGCCCCAAGATAGCCCCCTGTAGCCTCTTAATAAATACCTGCTGAATGGACATGTGATCACTCACTCCAAGATAGTTACCCCACCTTTGTCTCACCTGCCAGGTGAAGGCCGAGCTGCGCAAGTCCTGGGGCCGCTTCTTACTAGCTCGCCACTGGGGCTGCAGAGTCTGTGTCCTGGGGAAGAACTTCCGGTTCCTGGGGAAATGTTCCAAGAAGCTGTCAGAGGGAGATGGTGCTGAGACACTTAGGAAGCTGCAGTCCTCAACCTGCAGCTCACACTTGGCCTCTGAGACCCTGGGGGAGCTGGGGGCTAGACCTCACCAGGGCCGTGGAGCTTGGCCCCGGGGAAGCAGCCTGTCTGAGAGCAGTGAGGGGGACTTCACCCTGGCCAATACCATGGAGGAGATTCTGGAAGAGAGTGAAATCTAAGGCAGGGTCCAACGCGCCAGCCCTATGACTGTGGACTCCTGAGAGGGATGTTGCTGAGCCCAGGATCCTCCCCCTCCCTCTCACTATGCCATTTTGACATGAAGTTCCTCCTGGGTTGTCAAGCTCTGTATAAGTGAGTCTGTGTAATGAAAATGGCTCTTCCTGCCATGGTCGCCCTACTGGCTCCTCTGCCAGGTGTATTTCCCAGAATGCCCACTGGTCTCTGGGGCCTTGCCCTAAATTCAAGTGAATGGAGCCTGCCATGAAGAGAAGTCACTTATTAAATAGGGTTCAGATAGTATCTCCTTCCCCTTCATGGTACATGGTCTCCTTCTGGGTGTGGGGTACCCTGGAACCCCACAGGAAGCTTTGAAGTATTAAGTCCTCAGGATCATGGCCAACATTCTGAGAGAAGAAGTCTGAGATGATGACTAGGAATTGGAAGTGTCTGACAAGCATCTGAGTAAATTCTGGGAGATTCACCCTTGGCAAACCCCGGACAGGATGGATAGAGTAGCTACTATGCGTTTGCTGCTCAGGGGACATACCACTCTCCTTGGATAGGGTGTGAGCCCGTGTTGTCCCCCAGACCTTTCTTCTCTCTGTTTCTCTTCTCTTCCTCTTCTGTCAAGTCTAGCCTCCCTGTTTCCATCTCAGTTCTGTTTGGGGTTGACAGTAGTTTGAATGTCACAATACTGCATGTTAGTGTCTGTCTCCATTGCTGTGACCAAATACCTGGCAAGTGGAGCTTTAATGGAGGAAGTGCTGTGTGGGTTCATGGTTTGAGAGTGC